AAGCTGTGCTTGACTCTTGGCGGGGGGCGGGGGGGGGGTGCTGCCACTCCATCTTCCATGTCAAGGAACTTTTCTGTTGTCCGTAGATGCCACCTGATAGAAACGTCGGTATGTCCTTTATGGGCGCCTTTATTACCTCCCTGCTTTTTAGAGTGGTACCTATTTATCAACTCACATTGCTGTTTTTGATCTGCTAGGTGGGCAGAAGCTGAGCTTTTTCTTTCTTTCTTTTTTTGTCATGTCAAGAGCGACTTGAGAAACTGCAAGTCGCTTCTGGTGTCAGAGAATTGGCCATCTGCAAGGACGTTGCCCAGGGGACACCCGGATGTTTTTGATGTTTTACCATCCTTGTGGGAGGCTTCTCTCATGTCCCCACATAGAGAGCTGGAGCTGACAGAGGGAGCTCATCCGCGCTCTCCCTAGATTCGAACCTGTCAGTCTTCAGTCCTGCTGGCACAGGAGTTTAACCCACTGCGCTACCGGGGGCTCCTAGAAGCTGAGCTGACGGCCAGGAGCTCATCCCAACCTTGGCTTGAACTGTCAACCTTTCGATTTACTGCAGTTGGCCCTATTGTGCCATCGAACTGCATTGAACTGTATTATGTGGGTCACTGATCATATAATTCAGTGCCAAATATCATTATTTGACAGTGTAGATAGGTCCTAAAATAGTTCACTTCATTCTTGAAAACAACTTTATGGAAACTTAGAACCTGGGGTCAGGTCTTAACAAAAGCTGGATCTACACTGCCATATAATTCAGTATAGGATCCCAAAGGGTCTGCTATGAACAGGATTATGTGAGTCTACAGAGTAGATGGGACCCAGGTTTTTCCAATGCTTCTTATTTTAGATGTCCAGATGGTGCAATCCAGTGCATATCTGACTTGGATTACCAACATCCAAGCCTTAAGACATTACAGCCACGGAGTCAGCTGTTGAAGGAGATGGTTTGTTGTTTTCAAAACAGTGTTGGTTTCTGCAGCCATGCATGACAGGGGGTTACCAAGAATGTGTAGAGAATTAATGGTGTAGGTAGGTGCACAAATGATTTATGGAGTTATTACGATGTTTTCTGTTCTTCTCCCCCTTTCATAATAATTCCTAACATTTTATTTGCTTTTTTGACAGCTGCAGCTGAGCAAGCGCTTGCTTTCCACAAGCTAACTAGAATAATTCCAAAATATCTTTCCTGAGTAATGACAGCTAGTTTAGAGCCCAAAATTGTACAAATATGTTGTGTAGGGTTGTTATTTCGCCCAAAACGTGCATCACTTCACATCTCATGAGTCATTTCCATGACCTTTTACAGAGTGGTAGGTCCTTTCAATCTGCTTGATTCTTAACTATTTTGACTTTTTAAAAAACCCTCTGCAAATATTCCCATTTTTTCAATTTTATTTTGAATATATCTAGGAGACTAGTGAGAGTGCTATAACTACATGGTAAAAACTAGTGCTAAAACTGACCAATTATTGGACTACATTCTCTCTTTTTTAGAATTCAGCTAGCACATTAATAGTCAATCGAAATTTATCCACATGTAGGCACAGCCAATTACATGCAAAATAATCACTTCAGGGGCACAAAAGAGTTTATTTCCTAGGAATGTTTGAAGAACACAATCTAAAATCCATTACAGACAGGCCTTGTCCACACTTCAAAGACAAATGTACTGTCGGGGACTGATTCATTAGCATCTGATGCAATCTGTATGCCAGTATATACTTTTTAAAATACAGGTCATAAGAAAAAAATTAAAACATGTGAATTTCCATACAGATTAGACAACAGTTGTAGACTAATATGGAAGAAGAATAGTTAGGGACCTATTTGGTCACATGATTCCAACTTTGTGGGAAAGGTGGGGTATTTTGAGTTGTGCTGTCGCACCTGGGGTCTATAGATCTTAGTGAAAGAGGCATCTTTCCCCCAGGGGATTGCTTCTTGCCCTCCTTTAGAAAACTGGAACTCCCAAAGACCAAAACCCTGTAGATAACTCAAAATAGGTTTTATTGTTCACAAAGAGTTATCCCTTTAAGGAATAAGCTGGAAGTTTCAAAGGGGTAAAGGAAAATATACATTACAGTCTCTGGTTGTCTTGGGTCCAAGGAGTTTTCCAGCTGAGAAGCTTTTCCACGTCCCTCTTTCTCAATGGCTGTGGATATCGGAATAATCACAACCCCAATTCCAATGGCCTATATTTTGAAGGCACGAAGCCTTCCTCTGGTGCCAAAGAACTGGTTTGAAGGTGCTTGAGACTTCTCAACATCGTCCAGGTTGATCTGAACATGAAGCATAAGTCTCAAGGGTAAGAACTTCAGAATTGGTGCTGAGAGGTAACTTAATCAAGGGCTTCAGAGCCAAGTCTCTCTCTCACGTCCATCTGATAGAAAGTTTGATGGTGGAATGGAAAAGGAAACACTGTCCTGCTCTCTAGGAAGAGGTGGGGTCAAACAATTGAGCAGGAGGAGCAATTCAACTGGTGCAAACAACATTGATTGACAGCTATAAATAACCAATCAATCCAACTATGCATTTACAGGGTAAAAAGGCAAAATCAGGCATGATACAACAGTTCAAATCCTGCAACTTACAGTTCTACATATAGGTGGCGCCACTCGCGCCATCACATGAGTTGTTATTTTGTGCCTTCAAGATGCTTTCAACTGTCAGTGATCCTATAATCGAAGAGATTTGCCTTCTTTTAGGGTCAGGAGTAGACAACTCTTTCAAGGTCACCCAGTGAGTTTCCATGGCTGAGCGAGAATCGAAAGTACGGTCTTTTGGTGACCTAGACAAGCACTCAAGCCACAATACCACACTGTTTCACTAGATTGATGAGAAAGATAGACAGGCAACATGTTATGGAACTGTTGTGGATCAAAAATGTATTTCTTTGACCATCTTGATAATTTTCTTGCTCCTTTGATGTACTTGCATGGACCACTCCAGTACGGTAAGGCATTACCAAAAAGAGGTCTAAATGGAAAGATGGGGATTCAGAAAATTCAATTTGTGCATTATAGTTCCTAGAATACCCCAAGCATAGTGTCTGGAGAGTGGCCAACTGCCTTGCTGTAGTCCAAAAAATATAATTTTTCCAGGTCAGAAGATGGGGATATTAAAGGAAGACGAACCTCTAGTCTCAGAATCAGAAGGGAAAGAGCAAGTTGCTTGGAATCACTTTTCCTTTTACTAAGAGACCTAAGATTTGTTCTGTCACATAACATAGATATGCACGTCGATAACTGATACTTAGTGAAAAGGATGGGTAGAGATAATACACTGTGGAAGTTCTGAAATGCACATATAGTTCATGGATCTTCAGGTTTTGTGTTTGTTTGTTTGTTTTGCTTCTGCACTAGTTCACCTTCCCTTGCCCTTGCCAGATAGAGGCCACTTGATGTTTTTGTTGATGATGAGGATGTATTTATACCCCACTTTTTCTTCTGCCAAAGGCCACCCCTGTTCACCCCATGAGAAAAGTCAGTGCCAGTTGTAGAATAATCCTGGGAAAACAATACATCCTTTCTTTTTGGGTAAACCTGGTGCCAAAGCAAGAGCTGCAGGAGAATTCTGTGTAGAAGACCATTAAACAAACTGATGATGATACATGCATTAGTGGGGCTCATTAATCATTCTGGAAAGATCAATGCTAGAGCAAGGTTACCTGTCAGAGCCAGTCTTTCAGAATTCTTCCTTCTTCTTCTAAACATGCATTGACAAGACTATTGTCTTATTCTGTAGGACTTGCAACTGTTTAAGTCTGCTCTTAAATATATTATATTGATATTTATGAACAGGATTGTGAAAACAATAGGTCTTCGGAAGACGGAAAGACTAGAAAAGGCCATAGCTCAGCAGCAGAGTGCATGCCTTGCATGTAAATAGTCACCGACATTGTACTGGACATTATCGGCACCAGGAGGTCTCAGATAAAAGAGTATGAATGCCCCAAGAATGTGAGATAGTTGATTGTGTTCCAGTTTGTTAAAAGGGACAAAACTGTGATTCCCAGTAACATGTTTCACTTTTCATGGGTCCTAGAAAGTTTTCTACATTCTTAATTCCTTTATATTCTACTCCTGTCTTCTGGGGTATTGGCTATCCCTCCCAATTTGGTGTCATCTGCAAACTTGATGATCATGCCTTCTAATCCTTCATTAATGACTTAGATGAAGAGTTAGAAGTCATGATCATCAAGTTTGCAGATGACACCAAATTGGGAGGGATAGCCGATACCCCAGAAGACAGGAGTAGAATTCAAAATGATCTTCACAGATTAGAGAGATGAACCAAAACTAACAAAATGAAGTTCAACAGGGACAAACGCAAAATACTCCGCTAGGCAGAAAAACCGAAATGCAAAGATACAGAATGGGGAACAATGCCTGGTCAACAACAGTACCTGTGGAAAACATCTTGGAGTCCTCAGAGACAAGAAGTTAAACATGAGCCAACAATGTCACGCAGCAGCAAAAAAAAAAAAAGCCAATGGGATTTTGGCCTGCATAAATACAAGTATAGTGTCTAGATCCAGGAAAGTCATGCTACCCCTCTATTCTGCCTTGGTCAGACCACACTGTGTCCAATTCTGGACACTGCAATGGAAGGGAGATGTTGACAAGCTGGAATGTGTCCAGAGGAAGGTGACTAAAATGATCAAAGGTCTGGAAAACAAGCCCTATGAGGTGTGGCTTAAAGAGCTGGGTGTGTTTAACCTGCAGAAGAGAAGGCTGAAAGGAGACATGATGGCCATCTATAAATATGTGAAGTCATAGGGAGGAGGGAGCAAGCTTGTTTTCTGCTTCCCAGGAGACTAAGTCACGGAACAATGGCTTCAAATTACATGAAAGGAGATTCCATCTGGACATTAGGAAGAACTTCCTGACTGCTTCTTGGCAGAGGGTTGGACTGGATGGCCCACGAGTTCTCTTCCAACTCAAGGATCCTATATGACATTCTTGCCCATTTTCATCTTCCTTTTTTTTATGCCATTCCAACACATCAAAGAAAGAGTTCCATCCCAAAGCACTTTGTTTACGATTTCCCCAAATCAGGGCTCTCTGAACAAGACCACATTTGAAGCAATGGAAAGAAATAGTATTCTGACAAATGAAAAACAGTGACAAGTTGTAATTGGTTTTCTTTCTTCCGCTTCTATAGCTTTCCCGGCATCTTTATGAGAAACATACGAATCGGTTTGTTAGGATATGGAGCCTCTTCTTTGCAGTTTGTTCAGTAGCACAACAGCCACAATCCACCTGGTCGTCGATACAGGACATCCTTTAATCTCCCGTGTTTTCATATGCTGTCCAGCTTCTTTAAAATGTATGGAGTGATGTGCAGCAGGGCCACATAGAGCAGGAACGTGCGGACCGAGGAGAGAACGTCTGCATGCTTTTAAACAGAGGCTGGATGGCCATGTGTCAGGGATGCTTTGAATGCCATTTTCTTGCTTCTTGGCAGGGGGTTGGACTGGATGGCCCACGAGGTCTCTTCCAACTCTAGCATTCTATGCATCTTCCGCTTCATCTCCTTCGGGTCCAGCTTGGGCCCCAGGCCCTTAATACAGAACATGACCTCTCTTCCTGCTTTGTCCTGCTTAGCAACATCAGCCTCGCCTTCACTTCCAACTCTTGCTTTTATGAAGGTAGACACTCCCTGGTCCTTTGCATATGAAAACAGACTTGTGATCCTCCAGATGCTGTGGGACTGCAGCTTCTGTCATGCCTCACCATTTCCTCTGTGGCCTAAAGTTGTAAACTTTTGGGAGTTGTATAATCCAGGCACATTTGGTAGTCGCATGCTGGCCATCCCCAGTTTAAATGAACAAGAGGCTGTTATTAAATCCATGCCACTTTCATGAAGTAATTATCCTGGGATAGCTGTGCAAATATTAACACAATTAGAATCGCTACTTGTGCAGCTGGGGAGCAGAAGCTGTTTTGGCTGCTTCAGACCCAAAAACAGTTGCCATCTGTGTACACAAACCTCTGTGTTTGGTCCTCTCCTCATTTTGGGGAGAAACTGAGAGCAGTTGATGAAATTTATATTTTCAAACATAAAATTGAAAGGTGTTCTGCTCTGCATGAATAATGTAGAATAACCTTTCCAATCTGTGCCTTCTCTGAATATGTTGGCTTATAGAATCATAGAAAAATAGAGTTGGAAGAGACCACGTGGGCCATCTAGTCTAGCCATGCAGGAAAAGCACAATCAAAGTATCCCTGAAATGTATTGTCGAAGGCTTTCATGGCTGGAATCACTCAGTTCTTGTGGGTTTTTTCGGGCTATATGGCCATGTTCTAGAGGCATTTCTCCTGACGTTTTGCCTGCATCTATGGCAAGCATCCTCAGAGGTGAGGTCTAAAACATGGCCATATAGCCCGAAAAAACCCACAATAACTGAGTATCCCTGAGATGGCCATCAAGGATCCCCAGTCAATTGCCCATGCCAGTATTTCTCAAACTTTGTTCCTCCAGATGTTCTAGACTTGAGCTCCCACAATTTTAACAGCTAGTAAGCTGGCTAAGATTTCTGGGAGATGAAGTCCAAAACACCTGGAGGAGCAGAGTTTGAGAAACATTAGCCCATGGTGTTTCAGGATGAGAAGAGTTGTAGTCCAACACATCAGAAGAATATTTTCATACCCTCCAGCATTTAACAGATGGAGACTGAGACATGTGTGGCCAGTTCATCAGCCCAAGATCAAGATGCCAAAGGTTGTTAATGAGCAAAGACAAGGTACAAGAAGTTTGCTTTTGCTTGAGCCTACTGGGAAAGACAAGATTCCCCTTGGTATGGAATAATGCCGCCAGCTAAGACACTGGAATTCAAACTATTTTTGCACTTTAAACTTGGTTTACAGCAATTGAAGTAAGCAAAGGGCGAGGGTGCTTCCAGTCTCCTTCTGGGCCTCATTCAGCCAGACTGGTGCTGCTTTCATTCGATCATCTCATAGTGAGGTAGATTGGCATTGATTCTAGGAACTTACATTTTCAATATCTACTGCTAAGGGCCATTTTTCTTTAGATAGTGCTCCAGCAAACCTTCGTTCTCATTCCTGTTGTTTTGTTCTTTGGCAGATATTGGCTACTGCAAATTAGAACCTCTCTCGTTTGTTGTTGCATCTGCATCTAACCCAAGTGAAGTCTTCTCTGAAATACTAGACCTTTAACCACAAGCAGGAGAATCTCAGGAATTGGAGAAAAACCTTGCAAGACATTTAAGAAAATGAAGTCTATCTAATTTTGAAGGATTTTTGCATCTTCACTGCTTCTTATATCAATTCCTATTAACGTTTCCTTGTTCAGGGAATTGGAAGGGGACAGTTCTGAAATAATTTCCCTTTGACATTCATCAGTTCTGCAATTACCTTATCATCTTTACAATGGAGGACCTCAAGGCAACCTTTTGACTTTAAAGTCAATCAAGATTTAGAACAGTGGTTCTCAACCTGTGGGTCCCCAGATGTTTGGGCCTTCAACTCCCAGAAATCCTAACTGCTGGTGAACTGGCTGGGATTTCTGGGAGTTGTAGGCCAAAACACCTGGGAGCCCACAGGTTGAGAACCACTGATCTAGAACCTTGTGACAATGATAATCCTTGGGTGTCAGGTGTAGGTTTCTACATCATTGTGCCCCAAATAATATCAACCACTATTCTAATGGTTGTTGAGTGCCATATTCTGCTTGATGGTCTAGACCTGGAGGATTGTGAAGATGGTGGTAGTCGAAGAGACTTGATATGCCTATATTTCCTTCTTTTGACTGTCAATACAAGGGACAGCACTGATTGCCAATGTGGAGATACTAGATTATGATAGTATGCCTCAGAAAAAATAACATCTTTTTGCATGCATGTTAAGTGAGATGCTGGGAGCAAATAACAAAATGGGCCTATTTCTGATGGCATGACCGAGCCTTTGGGAAAACAATAGTGTCTGGCTTTACTCAGCGACTATCTGTATACCTTCTGTTAAGATTGAGACCCTTAACACACAGAGGCACTTTAGGCAAGATGAAAAGATAACCAAAATGAGTTTCTGAAAACAAGATAAATAAAGGGTTAACTCTACCCGGGACTATTATAAGGTAACTTAAAACAGTACATTATAAAAGGAGATTTTGTTGGTTGCAGTCATCTCTCTGGAGTCTTTTGCGTCTGGTGAAAAGTAATGGTTTACAAGCTGCTGCTTATAAACTGTCTCAATCTTCTTTCTTGTGAAGCTTAAGTTGGGCAAAAGCTTCTGTTGTCTCTGGGATTGCTGGTATAAGAATTCTGCTGAATGCAGGTGCTAAGGATGCCTGTTTTTGGATTGCTTCGGCCTAGGATTACCAGACAACGTCCAAGCCTCTGTTCACTGTAGCTTTGCTGCAGAAAAAGGGAGTCCAGCGTGAGAGGTCTATACAGGCAAGTGGAATAGACGAACTAAGGCTGGCATCTGGGGGTTTTATGCTCCACCCAAAAACTAATACAAAGGAAGGTATCTACACTATTGGGAAAACCTATTAATAGGGGAAACTGGAGCAGAGGAGAGGAAAAGGCAGAGCCAAGACTTCACACCTCTTCATCATATCTTACTTGTGAACATCTCAAGGCCATAACATTCCTGGATGCTTGGGAATACAAACCTTCAGCCTGAACCACCAAGGAAATTTGCAGATCTGCTCTTCAGCAACAGCCTATGTTGCCTTACCTTCCTCCTCATCCTTTTTACAAAAATTACATCTTTTAAAACATTGATTGACAACTGTGAAGAGTGAGGAAACCAGTTTTTATTTCTCTGGATCTACTTCTTGGTCTCCCCCTGAAAATTAGTAAAATATCACACCTGACTAGAAATCTACTTTCAGTTTCTAACCAATATTTCATGGTTAGAACCAGGAGTTTCTGGAAAGTTATGTTTAGCCAAAATGTGTGTTTTGGGGAGGGTGGCCTTGGGGGGACGTGAGAGAGTGCAAAAAAGGGGGGGTTAGGTCTATATACTACCTGGAGGTTGCATTTTCTCCACCCCTGTTTTAAAGATTTCTGACAATATACTTTTTTCTCATTCAAATAGTCTTGACTCTTCTGTGCAGGATAGCGTAGAAATATGTCAAGGCCTTTGGACTTTCAAGATCTACTATCTGTCCTACTTGTTTTCCTTGATCCTAATTTGATGTAATGGGCATTCCATGGGGTTTTTCCAGTGGCTTTAAAAACCCAACAACAACTGCTGCGGCAACGTCACCATGTTGCATTAAACAACTTCAGAGGAGTTTGTCAGAAATGGCTTTCTTTGTAGTGTGGAAAACTATGGTTTTGAAAGGAAAACCTGCACACACACACACACACAATGTTTGCTGGATCTGGGCCAGAGTCTCTTTTAGCAGCAGCCAGATATTATATACTCAGCCTTTTCATTTATTTCCCCTTTCTCTTTTCTGTATGTATTTTGAGATGTTAAAGCAGACAGCTTTTCAAAACCTGAAGCCACCATTTCAAGCTCCTAGAAAATGGACCTGGTTCAGCTTTGTGAGTCAGCTCACTTTTCCCACAGCTTTTGCCTGTCACACATGTTGCTTGAGCAAAGAGGAGTTAATGGAGTTAATGGACCAAGTGAAAATAAGCCCTAGTCGGAAGGAGCTGGGTCTTGTTTCTCATCGGTGCAAGGAGAGACGTGTATTTTCCTAATGCATTCCTGCTTGCTCTGTCACCGGCATGACCCTGGGTCCTTCTCAGCACCTTGTTCCCTACAGAGATCACCAGCCTCTCTCCATTGCACATTGTCAGCCTTAATTATTTCCTGTATATTTCCTACTCCATATTGTTCTGTAAGGCTGTGTGATGAGAGAACAGGAGGTCACAGCAAAGCGGCATGCTAATCCATCTCTTGTTACAATGGAAATAAAGCCAGCCGGCCAGGCTGAATTCAGCCTCCTGCTGCTCCCCCATTCAGACCTGCTGGGCCACTTCTGCAACCCCAAGTGATGAGAACACTGTGTCACCAAAGGTGCTAGGAGAGGTTGGCCCCTTTCTAGGTAACTCAGACTCAGTTACATAATTGAAATTATGATTAAGCCCAAGTATTGAAAGGTACCAGAAATAATTATCAGCCAGTTTTTGAGATGGCGACCCCTTCAAAAAAGAGTCACAATACCATGTGGCCTTCAAAAGCAGTCTGCACCATTCCGAACACGCTTGTTCCCCTGGTTGCCATTCATATAGAACTTAAGAAATGTAGTGCTGTAGTCCTGCAGAGCTATGATTTTTTTAAAGTCATTTCCACTATGCATTTGTGATAAACCAATTGGCAAAGCTAAGTGTCAAGCCAAGGCACTTGTTCTGTCGCGCGCTGGGCCTGTAACAGCTGTCTTTTCTATAGGACGTATACTTTAAGCCCAGTGTGAAGCCAGGGCGCCTCAAAGAGAGGTTCTCGGGGATTTTTCTGAAGTAATGGTCTTTAGAGTCTTTAATGATACAACAAAGTCTTTATTATGGAACAAACAACAAATCTTCAATGGTTCAAACAACACTTCAAGGCTTTCTTAGTCTAGTCCTCAATGGACTGGTACCTGACTTTAATTAACTGTAC